CTGCTCTGCAGTTGTTGGAGTCGGTGCAGGACTTTAAATAAGAAAGTGTTCGAGTCGTTTAAAGCTTCTGGTTAATTCGGCCGTAAACACGTCGTTTATAGATGCACAGTTTGTAATCTATTGGTAATTTTCTGTGGGAAATCAGCGGCTGTTTGTACAGCGTCATCCTCAGTGAAAGGTTCAGTCAGAAGCGCTGCCGGTTTCACTGGTCGTTTTGAAAGGCCGCTGCATGTGCTTTTATTTTGATGCTTAGCAGAAGTGTTTTTAGTATGTGAGAAAATCTCCTTCACAGTTTGTGAGGGAACTTTTGTTGTTGGGAATCATGTGAACGATGTGTTCACGCTGCAGATGTTTGAGCTTTAAACATCCAGATGTGCTCCTCCTCACTTTAAATGCAGTTTGCAGCTGGACTGGGCTTGAAGGAGACGCAGATCCTTCATGTTGCACTTGAGCTTAAAACTGCGAGTTTTTGACTGGAGTCTGGTTTAATGTGTCTCTGTTTCTATCGTCCAGCTGCCAAAGTGAAGAACATCCGACGAGGAGTCAAAGAAGTTCAGAAGTTCATCAACAAAGGAGAGAAAGGGTGAGCCGCTGCTGCACCTTTCAGCGCGTCCTCAGGTGTGTCAGGTGTGACGATCACAGGTGTGTTTATGTGTTTCTGATGTGTCTGCAGCATCGTGGTGCTGGCGGGCGACACGCTGCCCATCGACGTCTACTGCCACCTGCCCGTCATGTGTGAGGACAGAAGCCTGCCGTACGCCTACATCCCGTCTAAAGTGGTGAGTGACTGTGGACAGGAGTGCTGAAGGTCTGTCACCTGATGGGGGCGGGCTCTGAACGCGTCGCTCTGTCAAGGTTGGATGGAGGCGTCATGGGCGTGGCTGAAAGTCAGTCTGTGCTTGCAGAGCGCCGCTCACACAGCGTGTGTGCTCTGCTCGCTGCACTTTCCTCAGCGCAGCAGGAAAACGTTACTGCAGCGCAAACAGTCGACACGAGTGTCTCAGAGCGCTGTGTGGATGTGACGTCTCCGACGGTGACGGTCCGTACGCGTGCGCAGGCGTCCGTGTCTCTGCCTGCTGTTTCTGACCATGTGGACATTGCTGCACGCGCGCCCCGGCTGCACGCGCTCCCCAGGCAGCAGATTATACAGTCAGGAGTTCAGCTCTTATTCTTTGGACAGCGTGCAGCCTCTGTGGCTGTGGCGCTCATTTGACCTCACGTCTTGTTTTAGAAAACAGTTCGTGAGGATGTCAGAAGCTGATTGGTTCTTGTGCAACACTTTGTACGACTCACAAAACAAACTTTTCAGCTGAAGCTGTTGATTCTGTTCATCTGGATGTTTTCAGTGGGAGAAACGTTTCGTCATCATCAGGCGACTCCTTCAGGGTTCGTACGGGTGCTTGAAATCCTTGAAAATGCTTGAATTTTAATGTTGTCCTTTCAAGGTTTGAAAAGTGCTTGAAAGTGTAGCTGTATTTCATTCACCCCAAATATCTGATTGAATAGTTTTCTTATCAGATAGAGAAATAAAATGAGTCGCAAAATGTAAAAGTAAACTTTCCCGCCTGGCTGCCTTGTGTCTGTTTCACCGTGTGACCCCGCCCCCCTCGGACAGTCGGGGATGAGTGCGCTAACATACCTGCAGGTCGCTGTTTTAATGAGTGTTTGATGGAACAAATGGCGGAGTTTGCGCTCTCCAGTCATGATAGGTGAGTGCTAGTGAATAATTTTCCAGTACGTGTATGTTACACACGCTATTTTTAAAATTATGATTATTATTTTGCTAGCTATCAAACTCTGAATATTGAAACACTCTGAGTGTGATGCAGTATGGCAGCGCTGTTATGGATGCTGTGAGCTTAGCTAACATTACTTAGCAGTGATATGAGTTCATTTACTCGAGTGAAAGCTTTAAACATTAGCTGATACATAACTAGCTAACTTAGGCTTTCTGATTAACCCTCTGGGGTCGACCAGAGTCTCCATTTCAACTTGGGTCGAACGAGCGGATTTCAAACTATGTACCAGGTTTTAAACTGTGTTGATAGGTCACGTAAAACTGATGTTTTTAGTTTTTAATAAAACAGCGGCGTTTACTCCGGGAGGAAACGGTAAAGACGGCGTTTTCTAAGGAGAGCGCTGCAAACACGCTTTGATTGTGAGTGAAAAAAGAAAAAGAAAAAACACTCCTTCCCTATTGGTGGAAAAATGTACCACGTCGACCAATCAAAAATGATATGGCAACATGTGACATCTGGTTGTTTGGGAAGAGGGGGAAGTTTTGATACGTGAGAGGTTTGTGAGGTTTGCCGTGTTTGGAGTCTCCAGTTAGTGTGTTGTTGTTGTTGTCATTGTTTTGTTTTGTGTGTCAGTTCTACTAGTGATCGCCACAGTTGCTGCCTTAAAGCCACCAAAGGCAGACTGCAGTGTAAACATGTTTGTGGTTTTTACAGTCAATAATATCACTTTCTACTCGTGTTTTAAATTTTGTCTGAATTTAGATAAATTGTGCTGATACAGTTTGTCCAAATGAGAAAATAACAGATAAACAGTTTTTAAAGGTGAAATAAAGAGAACAAATCAACCCTGGAGCCCAGAGGGTTAGAGGCTGAAAGCAAAGTTATAGCAAATATTTCATACTTTAAGGCTGCCTGTTTATTTAAGGCAGATGAACAAAATACACTGGACTTGTACATAATAACATCACAGATGATAAATGAAATAGATTTGAAGTAGATGCTTTTCATCCTTCAAGTCTTATATGTTGAATTGAACTATGTGATGTGTTCAAAGTCAGTGCTGTTCTCCAGGCCTGTCTGACATGATGTTATCAGCACAAACACTTTAAAGGTGATGTTTTGGGCTTTCGGCGTTATTCCGGCCGGGTTTTGTTTTTCAAACCGGTTTTTTTGGGATTTACTTTAAACAAACAAACATCTGTCTCCTATTTTCAGTCACACAAGACAGAAACATCAATATCTGATGAGAAGACTTATTTATTTATTTTTTTGGGGGGTCAACAGGAGAAGAATATCTAACAAGTTGATTTGACTTAATTTTTAAGTGAAATGTGCATTTAGAGTTTATACAGGATGTATATAAGATCGTTTCCTTTTGCAATATTTTTGTGTGGTTTGTTTTTCTATTTCTTAACAAATGGGGATCAAAGGTGTTTAAGGAGGTTTTCATTTTCACATGGTCTTACTGAGGTGACGCGAATTGAAACATGCATTCTTTTTTTTGGGGCGGGGGGGAGGGGGGGGCTGCATGTGCTGGAAAAGCTTGAAAAGGGACCTTGAAAGTGCTTGAAAAGTGCTTGAATTTGACCCTGAAAAAGGCGTATGAACCCTGCTTCTTCAGTCTCAGCTGACTGCAGGTTTCAGCCTCATAAACAGAACGTTTGTATAATGACTGAAACCAGCAGCACTGAGGGAACAACGGGCTGGGAGCTCAGTTCCTTAATCATAATGATGCAGATTCTCATGACCACTGAAAACGTCCAGATGAACAGAATCAACTTTTGCAGATTTACTTGAGCGTGCATCGAGACGCTTTCAGTAGAAAAGCTTTCTTTCATGCAGATCAAACCACCAACCTTCTGATTAGTCGATGACCGGCTGAGCTTCAGCCAATCAACTAACGAACGTCTGATCATGTGACACGTGAGCACGCGTCAGCTTCAGACTCTTATTTTCAAATCTTTTGTGATTTCCTGACTTTTAGTGTTGGGATAATTTCTCTTATTTTGAAAATTCTGTGTGCTTCCAATTTCATTCATAATAATGAATCACAGTCGTCCAGCCTGGAAGTAATAAATGCATGAACTAGTTTTTCAGCGTCACTCTGAGACAGGATATTTCTAACTTTAGAGATGTTGCACAAATGGAAGAACGCAGTCTTACATATTTGTTTAATATGTGCGTTGAAGGACATGTCCTGGTCAAAAATGACTCCAAGGTTCCTCACAGTGTTACTGGAGGCCAAGGTAATGCCATCCAGAGTAAGAATCTGGTTAGATACCATATTTCTAAGCTTTTCAGCGCCGAGTACAATGACCTCAGTTTTATCTGAGTTAAGAAGCAGAAAGTTAGTGGCCATCCAAGTCTTTATGTCTTTAAGACATTCCTGCAGTTTAACTCATTGGTGTGTGTTATCTGGCTTCATGGACAGATAGAGCTGGGTGTCATCTGCATAGCAGTGAAAGTTCTGGCTTTAAAAATTTTTTCATTTCCTGACTCTTATTGTGAAACTCTGTTCCAGGATCTGGGTTCCTCTGCGGGCTCGAAGAGGCCGACCTGCGTCATCCTCATCAAACCTCATGAAGATTACCAGGAAGCGTATGACGAGTGCTTGCAGGAAGTTTCCAGCCTGCCCAAACCCCTCTGAAGCCTCCCGGCCTCCCCTTCATAAGCCCCACCCCCTTCATAAGCCCCACCCCCTTCATAAGCCCCACCCCCCAAAGGAACAGTTCTTCCTCCAGCTGCGCTAACAGTTTCCATCCACTGCCAGTGTTTGTGCTAAGCTAGGCTAATCCAGCAGGAGGTTTAAATCCAGACTTCAGATAAAGAACAATGTTGATGTTTGAGTGAAAAATGATTTTGTATGATCGATGTATTGATCTGTGATCAGGACTGTAAAGGCAGATGTTTCACAGATGTTTTTGTTTTTTCTTATTAAAGTCGTTAACGCTGCGACGCGTCTGAACTCGTTCCTGCAGCCGCACAAACATCTCGATGGGTCGTCTCCTCCCCTTCATAAAGGATGCTTCAGTGTCTCCTCAGGTGAAGGATGCACTGAAGGATGCACTGAAGTAACAACAGCTGTTTGAAACGTTACCTGTGAAACACGAACGTGAGCTTTAATGAAACAGGTTCAGTTATATTTACAAACGTGCTGAACAAAAGGATCGAAAAATGATTTATTAGAACATTTTTATTTTTTACATAAAATCTGGACTTAAAATTATGTTGTTCAACATATTTTCTCTAATTGTTAAATTATTACAACATATGTTTGATTATATATGTAAACATAATATTAAAGGTAATAAAAGCTTAGTAACAGTTAAAACTTCTGATTTTATGACATTTTTTAAGGTATAATTTACCTGCTGAAGTGTAACAACAAGAATGATGATGATGATGATCTGTGCTGATCAAAAATCAGTTTTTGTTATAATAATAATAACACATGTTATTCATAGGCGCCTTTAAGACCTCAAGGTCACTTTACAATAGCAGCAATAAAATATAAACATGACAAAATTAAATTTAGACATGAGGTCAAAACAACAACAACTATGGTGAAGATGGACTGAGACAGATCAGCTGTGCAGCTCTGAATAGACGAGTTTGAGACGTGATTTAAAAGTGAGAGTTTGTGGTCTGATGAAGGAGCATCCGAAGAGTCCCACGGTGCTCAGGCGAGCAGGTGGAGCAGGTGGAGCAGACAGAAGGCTGGAGAAGAGCGGCGTGTACGAGGGGGTGGGGTGGAGAAGATCAGATAAATATGGAGGAGTGATGTCATGAAGCAGTTTGAAAGTGAGACGCAGGATGTTGAAATCGACACGGAGGTGAACCAATGAACAGCTGTTCTACGTTCAGTGGATCCAGTTCTGGAAATAATACGAGCAGCTGTTTGAACCAGTTTATGGAGGATTCATGAGAGTCACAGTAATCTACACAAGATGTTTATACTGACTGGAGGCTTAATGTTGTGGAGGTGAAAGTAGGAAGGCTGAGTGATATTATACCTGTGGTGTGAAGGACGGAGTGCTGAGGGGAGGGTGTGACATCAGAGTGATCAATGAAAGACTTCTGATCTGATGCCTGTTAAAATTAATTCTGTTTTATTGCCATTAAGTTTAAGAAAGTTGTGAGAAAACCAGAGCTTGATTTCACTTAAACAGTCAGAAATGTGTATGTGTGTGTGTGTGTGTGTGTGTGTGTGTGTGGCTGTTGTTGTTTCTGATGCGGCTGAAGGTAAACAAACAAATCCGATCACCTCGATTGATCAGTCATATTTCGATCTGATGAATCAGTAAATTAAGGCTGAGTGTGAAACAGCTGTGCAGGGAAAACATCTGGAACATGTGGCTCAGTTTCAGCTGCTGCAGGTGTGCGGTGCAGCCACACGGGGGCAGCAGCGTGTTACTGTTACTGCAGTTCAACATGGAGCAGCTTTGTTTAT